TATATATATATACACATACAGTATTAAATAACACAAATATATTAAATAATTACATATATTGAGTATTGTTTAAGATTTAAATAAGGTAGGGTAATTGACAAAACAATTTATGTATTTTCATTTTTGTATTTATTATATATTTTTATTTAAATATTTATATTTATTCGTTATTAAATTTGACAACTGCCTTGTTCCAGCCTCTAGGAAAACATACCCCAAAAAATATTTGTTAACTTTGAGCTAACTTGCATTTTCTTTTTTTAAATATTTTCTTCATACATGCACACACACAGAGGAACAACAGGAGTTTTCATCTGTACACCCCCAATTCTTCCGGTATTGAAACGTTTGCAGGCGTTGTGCAGCTGAAAGAAATGCTAAAAACATCCTGAATATTTCTCTTATTCCATATGACAGAGACCCTGAAGAGTCATGTCACATGTGGCGGTGTTAGTGAGTCTGCATCATGTCTTTTAAGGAGACAGTAGCTTTGATTTCACCAGTTCTTGAATCTAGATAGCAGTCGGCTCTCTAAATCAACAAAAATGACTCACTGTGAACTAATATTAAATTTGCAGGACTGCTGCTACACAAAACATGATCACAACAGCATATCAGCATGCTGACAATACTGAGCGTATAGATCTTAGACGGTTCAATCTCACTCCAACCCAAGCAAACATCATCCAGTCCTCTCATAAACATTAACCTCAGCTTATCCAACTACAAAACATACCGGACTGACGTTTGTCCACTTTCAACACAGTCTGAGTCTGTTATCAAAGTCTTTGAGCTACAGAAGTGATCAAATAGCAGGAACTAAGAGGCTGGAGGCTGATAGCAGGAGCTGATGATGGAAGCTAACTGTGAAGTTAAGAACCACAGAAATTCACTATCTAATGATAATGTTAAGGTTTTGGTCACTTGATAACGGCTGGTAGCGTCTCTACGTTAGATCGCACTCTATTGCAAATTGACAACATCAATTCAATTTTAAGAAAATAATAAATAGGTAACATTCTTAGAACTGTGGCTAACATTCTTCCAGTTACTGTTTAGAATGTTTGTTCAAAGTTATCTGCTTTTGATAATGTTCTAAAAATGTTTGCACAAAAAAAAAGACATTATTGTTACATAATTCATGGAGATTTCCCCCCCCCTGAAATATTTCAGTTGGATGCTCTACTAACTCTTTTTTAAATGTTACAACTTGTTTCAGAATGTTCAGAGAACATTCAAAAGTAACGTTCCAATAATGTTTACATGGTTTCTGCAGGTCTTAAAAAGTCTTCATTTGACCTTCTACAAATTAAGGCTTTAAAAGGCCTTAAATCAGTCAGTCTTGTTTTTTTTTGGAGCCCATTGGCAGATTTTTTTTTTAAAAGTTTTTAATCATTCAACTCACTTAACGTTTACATATAACGTTTTTAAAATGTTTTAAAAAAGGATGTTTAGAACGCTTAGAGAACAATCAACTTAACAGAATTGTTAGCAAGTTTTTAGAACTTTTGTTATCGTTGTTTTAGCAAAATTCTACTCAACAAAAAGTAACTTTTCTCATTTGCTCAGAATGGGCTGTGTGTAAATCAAAGGAGAAGTGGAGGACATCATGCATGTGCAACATAACTGTTTTTGAGTAACTGTAAATGCTAAAAAATAAATGTTTTATGCTTTTTATTTCTGACTTGACACATGCTTGGCCAACAGTTTTGGACATTTCAGCAGATAGCAGCTGTACTTGAAAATAATGAGCATAGGGGGTGTTGCCAAGATGGCCGCCAAGTGATTTCTTTTAAACACCCTTGTCATGCTTTCATTGAAAATGAATTCATTCATAGACTGGCATGATTTCAGGAGAAAAACATCAACCTAAGTTTACACAAAAACTGTCGAGCATCTCTTGATTTCAAGTGAGCGTCATTGGTGAGTCAAGATGGTTTCATACTAACTGTTTGAGGTGCTGTTGATTTGATTTTGATTTACATGGTTGATTAGTTTGGTTGTACTTTTCATGTGAGCTGTTTGAGATCAAATGCACTGCAGGCTATTGATTTGGACAGTTTTACATGAAATGAAAAGACTAGGTAGGTTTGTTTGTGCGCTCATGGTGGGTCAAACAAAGAGCCAGAGATGCCATCCAATGGCTCAAGTTTTTATTTTTATGACCTGCTGGATTTCTGAGATGTCTTAATAGACTGGTGTGTGTATGTGAGTGCACTTAAAATACGTAATGCTCTGTTTTCTGTTATGTGTGCCACTATTCTGGGAAAATGTCTTCATTTGTACCCCCAGCATCCACTGAAATGCCCTTCAGCATGATTCAAACAAAAAGATGAAAATTTTTGTGGCTTAGCAAACTATAACATTAGCATGACTCATAATTTCCCACTGTTAGGTTGGATAGAGAGTGGGTCACATGTTGCTGAGCGCACTGATATGGGCTCTCGAGGCGATGCAGTTAGAAGCCATTTATTTTACGAGGATAAGGACAGGGAAACATGAGGGGGAAAACAATGTGTGCTTTCCTCCAGGGAAATCTCTAGCGTCTATTTTAAGATGCTTCGGATGTCGGCGTGTAAAATGAAAGTGGGTTTCTGAGCAGTCAGGTCTGCTGAAGAACCTATAGCACAGAATAAAGGGTATGACTGGATCTGATGATGGTGAGTGGAAAGAAAAATAGGAACAGTTATGAAAGAGAAGTTATGAAGTTACGAAAGAGAAACTTCTTTTTCTTCTTTGCATATTTCCTTTTCTCAAGCTTGCTTCCTAATCTAGTTGTCTAATAAACATGGCATTGTATTTTATGATTATTGTTGGCTCTTTGACAAAGAGAAGATAAAAGCATCTGCTAAATGCATAAATGTAATGTAAATGTAACAATTTAGCTTTACACATAAATCCATATTCAGATACAGTTGTAAAGTTTGGAGAAGACAGTTGAACATCAAAACAAGAAAAAATATCTTGGGCAAGAAAAATAATCTTGTTTTGCCTTTGAATTAAGATTATTTTTCTTATTCTTTTGGCAGAACTAACAAAATTTTGATCTTTTTTTTAAAAACAGAAAACAAGACTTAATATATTACATAATTTTGCTTCAAGTAAATGCATC